GAAGCCTCCGGCAGGCGGAGGCGGAAGCGGGGTGGGGGAGTTCAGCGTGGGCGGAGCGCTGCGGAAGCACGAGCGGGGGCGTCCAGCAAAAAGGTCTCCCTTGTTATTGGCAAAGAATCAGCGGGGCTTGGTTTAGACAAATAAATACAAGATGAAGAACATAGTGTGAGGCCTTTGTTGTTGTTGGGGGAGGTTTCTGTGGTCTTTGTGGCAACCCGGCTTTACTCTCCCAAAAGCCAGGACTATAGACGGGAGCCACCACACCCACACCCAGCTTCTCTACCCTGTTCTTAAAATAGAAACAATTTATTTTGTCATACTGGCTTGGTTGACCTCCTACCTACCTATTTTCCTACTTCAGTTTCTGTTTACTTAAATCTACCGGCACCCATCACCGCGCTTGGTTTAAATTATTTGTTAAACGAAATCTTACCAAGTTACTCAGCTTGGCTTGGTAATCAAGGTCCTCCTATGTCACTCAGCCTCCTAAATAGCTAAGGATTACATGCCGGGCGGTGGTGACACACGCCTTTAATCCCAACACTGGTGGATCTCTGTGAGTTTGAGGCCAGCCTGGTCTACAAAGTATACAGAGAAACCCTGTTTTGGAAAAAACAAACAAAAAAACACAGTTTGGATTACAGACCTGGACTACCAGATCCAGCTGAATTTGCTATTGGATTGTAAACACAAAATTCAGTATCATGAGTACTGTTTAATTGCTATGCAACAAGCCTTCAGAACATTTTCATCTCAAGATCTTAAAAGATTGTTTCAGGCAATAGTTAAATGGTAAAATGTGCCTTGGAGGCCACACTTTGGTCTCCAGCACCAAAACAAATAATTTTTTAAAAAGCTGAAACTTCCTGCCCCTGGTACCCATGATCTGCTTTCTCTTTCCATATAAACAGAATCATGAACCACTTGTTCTTGTGAGTTATTTCACTGAAAATAATACCTTCAAGGTTTATTGGAAAGGATTCCTTTCTATCTTGATGTTGAATAATATGTCATTGAATTATGTACAATATTTGCTTTTGTGGGGGGAAGGAATTTGTTTGGGAGGACAGGGTCTCACTATATAGCCCAGGCTATATAGTTGAACTCCAGGCTATCCTCAAACAGTCCTAAAGTGTTGAGATTACAGAGAGGCTTTGTTATCAGGGCTAGTTCAATAATAAATTATCTTCCATCATAGATATTTGAGCTCCTTCCACCTCATGGCTGCTGTGAACAGGAGCTGCTGTGAATATTGCAAATGTTGCTTCAAGCTAAGTAGTAGCACAAGTCTTTAATTCCCACTCAGAAGACAGAGAGGCATGTGGGTCTTTGTGAGTTCAAGACCAGTCTGGTCCACTAGCAAGATCTAAAACACCCAGAGCTGCACCGTAAATCTGTATCTAAAAAAAACAAAAACAAAACAAAACACTCGTGGGTGGGGGGAGGGCACATGGATGGCATGGGTATGAAAGTCATAACAACATAAGGGAGTCAGTTCTTTCTTTCCACTTTGTTGAGCTTAAGAATCAAAAAACTATAGCAGCAGACGCCTTTACCTGATGAGCTATCAACCAGCCGAAATAACAGAATTAAAATATGGTCAAAGGCCTTGAGTATATACATCATCTTTTTTTTTGAAAGTGGACAAATTTTTGTTGTTCATTTCATGCAGTCAAAGTTTACTCTTCAATGACATCTTTAGCCTGAAATTATTTGCCATAGTCCTTTGTCACTACACAACTGCAACCTATCACATGAACATTCAGCTTAGGCCACATCTGAGGTCACACACACCATCACAGACACACGCAAGTACAGCAATGTCCCCAAAATGTCTGAGGAACTAGAGAATATGTTACAATTGGTGAAAGTAGTACATATAGGATAGGACCCTAAGTGGGCTATGATGGCAGCTGCCTGCCTGGTCTATGCTGCAGTTAAAGAGACATGCATATGAGGCGGAGCTGTCTGCCAAGAACTGTACCAGGAAAGACATGGATGCTTCCCTCCATGCCAACCTCTGCTCTAGCTGGGAAGTGGGACGCAAGAGGGGGAGCTATCACACGACCCCAAGTTAGCATTAAACTGTGTCAGTCCCCTTGCTTCTGCCTCTTGATTTCTGGGATCACAGGCTTTTGCCACCATCAGCTTCACTGTTTTAGTTTGTTTAACACAGAGCCTCAAGTAACCCAGACTGACCTCAAACTCACCATGTAGCCAAAGGTCACTTGATACTCCTCTCTCTACTCCCCACACCTGGTTATGTAGTTCTAGGATCAAACCCAGGCCCTCGTGCATGCACACTAGACAAGCACTCTGCCAACTGTGCTACAGCCACAACCACTGTATTTGTTTTTTAAAGTCAAAACAATTTTGGTTATTTCCATACCTTTAAATTTTTTTTTCTCCTGGGTTAAGTTTCTAGGATATTGTCCTAGAACAACAGTGCATCTAACACTGACTTTTCAGCTTTTGCTAAAAAAAATACTTAAAAATACATTCAGAATTAGGACATAGCCCCGCTTTCCGGTAGAATTGTTTAGTACAATGCAGACACACTGTAAGGGATGGAACCTACCTCTAGGTGGAGACATGCCCTTGTTTCCTTCTTAAAGGGTTAATCCAATGGGGCTATCGGATCACCCCCAAGGAAGACTGGTTCATCTTGAGATATCTTGCTCTTCCTATCCAGAATTCTCACCCCCTAACATTGTCCCCACTAGCTGAGATGCCTTGTAGTGCCCCCAAGTTAGCCTGCCTTTCCAAGGCTTATTTCTTCTTTTCCTTTTCTTCTTCTTAGGCTCCATAACTAATGTGTTGGGCTTCCTTATCTTTGTCTTAGCTCCCATCCAGGGCATGTGGCTGTGTGCCCCTATGTGACTGACCTCCATGTGGCCTTATCTCAGGCAACCCGGGGTTTGTTCCTTCTCTTCTCAATTCTCCTCCCTTCCAGGCTTGGGGGTTTACCTGGAGTTTTACTTTTAAACCCAAAAAATTGTCACTGAGCTTCTGTTTGTGTCCATTCTTAAATTATTTTACTAACAAAACTAAGAACCCTAAGGAAGTTCCCCCATTTCTCAGGTGTTCTGTGACAGCTCTGCTGGGATTCCCCTTTAATTCTTCAATTGACAGAGAAAATGAACCTGTTCCTGTGACTCTAGACTGCATCAATACAACACAGCAGAAGTGAGTTCAAGAGGGGACAATACAAGAGTTAAATTGCAGGAGAGGACCAGCCAAAACACTTGTTTCCCATGTTGGCAAACTGTGTACAGCGTGTACTGTTTCCTGTCCTCATCCTTCAGATGCAATCTTCTTTTGATCTATTTCCTGTTGAGAATGTTTTTGCCAGTTTACATATTCTGATCACAAATGGGTAGAGGCCTTCTCAGTTACAGGCCCTATCCAGGACAGAGAGGTCTCTATTATCGTAAAATAAATATGATTATGTGGTCATAATATCCGCTATTCCCTTTGAAATGGCCCAAACAGAACACTACACAGTGGGCATGAACTTCAGATTTATTTAGCCAAGAACAAGGAAGTGCTGAGTCCAGAGGTAGCTGCAGAGACTGTGTGGACACAGTACATACATCTTTGTACCTCTTGCTTGGAGGGATTCAGCAGAGTGCAGAGCTAACTCCCTATTTTTCCATTCTTGTTTTTTGTTTGCAGATTCCAAAATGAATACATTTTGCCTTTCTTTTTCCTTTTTTGATGGGGAGCAGGGATGCACTGGGGATTCAATCCAGGAAAAAAATGTTTTTGAAAGTGTCTCACTGTGTTGCCCTGGCTAGACCTGAATTCACTATGTAGCATTGTAGGATATTATATTACACTAAGAACCCCAAGATTGTGTTATTTACTGGAAAAACCTGTTTCAAGTTGTAGTGTGGCTCGGTCCTAGCAGACACCTTTAATCCAAGAGTTTTCTGCTTGAATATTGTAAACGGGATTAAATAAAGTCAATCATAGGTCAGTCAAGAGGTGGAGCAAACAACCAGTTGACAGGAAAAAAAAAAAAAACATAGAGAGTAAGACTGAGACAGGAGGACAGATAGACACACAGGAAATAGAAGGGAGAGACATTCAGTTTGAGGGGTATTGCTTGAGACAGCAAGGAGAAACGTCTTTTATTTATTTATTTTTTCCTGGGACATTGCCAGAGGAGGGTCAGCTGGGTGCTTTCTCTGCCTCTCTGAGCTAGCAGGTTTTCACCCCAGCATCTGGCTCCTGAGTCTTTATTGGTAAAACCGAATGATTGAGATACAGTTAAAAAAACACAATGTAGTCC